ACGGCAAGGGGCATCGGCCAGGGGGCCGCTTTCGTGGGAGCGGCGTGGAGTGGGGGGGGGGCGAGGGGCGAGGCAAGGGGGCGCAGCGGGCTCTCGCAGGGGGGGTGGGGGTCGTGCTCGAGGCCCCCCCCCCTCGAGGGAAGAAGCGCGGGGACCATGGCCAAGCTCAGCTGCCTCCATATGTACGCCCGTATTGATACGCAGCACGTGCCGTGCTGTGCTCAAGACGTCCGTGTCAATACGTTGCGTGCTGGCTCAACGTATGGGCCCACGGATTGGCGAACGGATCGCGTCAGACCTACGTTTTCGGTCTACGTGGTGAGCTCCGTGTCGACACGCTACGGGCTGCGTGTTGCGTATCGGGGCAGCCAAGAGGCCAAGATGCTGCGGGATTTTGTCGATGCCGATCTTGCTCATGGTCCATGTCGGCAGTCGTCGATTCGCGAGGATCATCCACGAACTGGCGCCAGCCAAGGTCGACGGTGACCAAGATCGGCACGACGTTTCCACGTTCAGTCTTGGCCACATGTCCCCGTTTTCTTCAGTGCCACTCCTGGGCATCTCGGAGGCCTCCCAGGCCCTTCTGGAGAGAGGACCCCCCCCAGCCTTCTGCGGCAGCCCCCCTCGTCCCAGCCCCCCCACCCCCCTTTGGTCAGGGGCGAAAGAAGGACTGACACGTACACGAGTCCACGTTGGTTTCGAGAGTACAGTCGAAACCGATGCTGGGGATGGGTCTATCTCCCAATAGTGCCTTTGCATCCTTGCCTCCTCGGCCCATCCTTGACCCCTTTCGATGGCGAGTCCCGCTCGAAGAGCTTCGACATGCGCGTCCAAGGGGCTTGCATCCTTACCACGCATCTTTGCTATCAGTTGTGACTGTACATAGATCCACGCTGGTGTCGAGAGTACCTACGCATTGCGCGAACGTGCGTACCACGATGCTGGTCTCGCGGACAGGGGGGGCCGTGTTCATGTACGTGGTTGAGCGCGTACATCCTTTTGTGGGCTCCCTATTTGGTGCGCGCTACGTGGTTTGTTTTCTCTTGGGTGGTGAGCGCTGGCCGCCCAGACCGTCACGGAGTGTGCCACGCGCAGAGGGGTGGGTGGGCGGAGGGGGGAGGGCTCCTTAGAAGCACCCCTACTTCTTAGAACGCGCGGGCCCTATCTACAGATGTAAGGACGGAGCCTTCTAAGAAGCAGCCTTCTTCTACGAAGCCTTCTCGTGCGCGCCGCCACGTGGCCTGTTTTCGTTGGAGTGGTGAGTGCTGGCCGCCCAGACCGCTGCGGAGCGTGCCTGGTGAATCTCTTTGCCCTGGGACATACCAGGAAGCTGTACAGTCAGACCGCATAGTACGGATGAGCGACTTTCCAAGATTACCCTTGCATCCTTCCCCTTCGGCCATCCTCGGCCGCCTTCGCTCGCCGCGCCCTGCTCGCAAAGTGTGGACATGGCCTTCCGAGGCCCTTGCATCCTTATCGTGCGTCCTTATTGTACGTGCTGACTGTGTACAGATAACGTGGTCCGCCTGGGCGAGAGCTGGATACACACGTGGTCACATGTCTTTCCAGCGCTCGGCCTTCAAGTGGCCGGGCACGGTGATCATCCACATGCGTACCCAGCAAGTTGCCTCCGGATGATTCATATGTGAATTCAGCCGCGCTTGTTTCCAGTGTCCTGGTAAGCGCAGACCACCCAGACCATTACGGAGTGCGCCTAGTGAATCCCTGCCCTGGGACATACATATGTACGTGTTGGTCGTAAATGCTCTGACCTCTCCGCCAGCGCTTTCCCATCATATCTCCACACGCGCAATTGGTGGACATGGTGATCGATCAAGCGTTTGACCCCGCGATCAGATTTTGCGAAACCAATGCAACATCGCGAACAGTAACTGGAGCCATAGGCCCTATCTTTCTGCTGCATCGTTTGAGCTGCATCGATCTGTGGCGGCCCCAGGGCCCGAGGCCGGGCGAAAACGCCCGGCGCGATTAACAGGTGCAACAAGTGGATTTCAGGGGATGCGCCCCCCACAAAATGAGGTCCAGCAGAAGGCCGACGGGACGGTCTGGAGCTGGGACTTGCGGTCTCCTGAGCGCGGGCCCGCGCCCGCAGGTCAGCATCGTTTCTCCCATCCCCCTCCCCATCCCCATCCCGATCCCCACCATCCCACCACTGCAGCTGGGGGTATGCCTCTCGAAACCCGCAGGGAACAGCCTGTGTCCCCACAGGGGGGTGCAGCGGCCAGCGGGGCCCAGGCCACGCCAGTGGGGATGGCGATCGGTCCAACGATGCTCGGCAGGGGCCGGCGGGCCAGGGGGTCGCCGCGGGGCCGCGGGAGCTCGCCCCGCCGTCAGGCTCGCCGGCCGCCTGGGTCCGAGGCTGCTCGCGGCGACCCCGCAGGCGAGGACGCTGCCGCAGCACTGGGCCAGCGGTCGTCACCGCCAAGACGCGTCCGCCTCGAAGTCTGGGCGTTGCAGTTGTTCCCCATGTGATGATGACGCCGACGACGGCCACGACCACGACCACGACCACGACCACGACCACGACCACGACGACGACCACGACCACGACGACGACAACGACCACGACCACGACCACGACCACGACCACGACCACGACCACGACCACGACCACGACCACGACGGCGACGGCGACGGCGACGACGACGACGACCACGACCACGACGGCGACGACGACGACGACGACGGCAGTTCTTCCCCAGATCTTGAGGTGGGGTTCCTGTTATTCCCCATATCCTATGATGGGGTTCTTGTTTTTCCCCATATCCCAAGAGGGGGTTCTTGTTATTACTCTGACGCCTCCTACTCCTCATCCTCCTTCTCCTTCTCCTCCCCTCTCCTCCTCATACCCAGACTTACTCATACACAGACTGACTCACACTCAGACTTACTCATACCCAGACTTACTCACACACAAAATTACTCATACTCAGACCTACTCATACTCAGACTTACTCATACTCAGACTTACTCATGCTGAGAGTCACTCATACCCAGACTTACTCATACTCAGGCCTTTTTATTGTCTGACTTACTCTACATACAGCAGGTTGTGAGGATGTCTCAGGCTGGGCGCTGGTTTCAGCACCCCTAAGGGGAGCCGCCGAGGGGTATGACACGGTCCCGTTCGCGGCCGTTTTGTGGGGATGTCTCAAGTGGTTTGCCTGTTTTCTGTCCCAACATCCTTCGTTTTCGGAGCAGATTTGGAGGATGTCTCGAGCGAGGCGCTCATTTTCACGCCCCTAAGGGGAGCCGCCGAGTGGTATGACACGGTCCCGTTCGCGGCCGTTTTGTGGGGATGTCTCAAGCGTTGCGGCTGGACTCGTCCGTACCGATTGACCCCAGTGCCTCCATCAAGTGCTTGATGCCCTTGGTCCACTCCTCGGCGTCTTACTCCCATTGTCCCGCTCGAAGGTCTTCCATTGCAATGCTCTCGGCCTGCATCTTTGCCAGCCCCGTCACGCACATCACCACTCGCTTATCCCAGGAGAAACTCACATCTAGGTGTATTCCCTCCAGCCACAGGGCCACGTCCTTCTTGTAGCGACGCCACCTCGTAGGAGTTCCGACCCACGTCGGTATCCTCTCCAAGCACTTGCCAAAGAAACTTGGATCATGGCCGTAGTGTCGTTGGTCGCCCAGTCCACCGCGCGGCGGCAGCGTAGATGGAGAAATGCCTCCCACGCCACGTGAACCCATCATCGGCCTCCTATCGGGAGTGCGCGCCCCTTGGCCACCACCACCTTGTCGGTTGGTCTCGTCGTAGTTCTGCTCGAAAGCGTTCTGGTCGTACTTGAAGTCGTGCTGCTGCTCTCTGTCAAACTGATGCGCACGATGTCGTGCGGCAGCACTTCGCTGTCGTTGAAGATCTCCTCGCTATGGCGTGCGGCGGCGCCGTCCATGGAGCCATCTGCTCCGCTACCACTGCGGAACCAAAGTCACTCTCCTTTCCCCTGGTCCCACATCGGCGGCGGAGTTGCAGCAGCCACGATCACATGGCAGACATCGTTTCCGGTCGCTCGCTACTGTTTGCAATTAAGCCTCAAACCCGCTTGATATAAAACAGCAGCGGTGCGAGGGAAAGCATTATGGGGAAACGATTCGTGAGCAGAGGGGACCAACATAGAGCTGAATGCCGCAGAAGATGGGGACTAATGCTCCGTTCATGACTTTTCACGATGCTGCAATGAGTTAGACTGCCCGCAAGAGTGACCCTTCGCCGGAGCGACCTTGGGTGCGGGCACATTCGGGCCTCGTTCGCTCGGGCTGGGCCTTCCCGAGGCCCCGGCAAGTCGCGCACCAAAGGCCACTCCTGCCTGGGGTCGCTCTCGCGTGTGGCCGATCTGTTCGCAGCGTCGGCTCTCGTGGGTCCGCTGCCTCGGGGTGGTGCAGCCTGGGGCCCGTGGGGGAGTGGCGGGGGTCGCGGCTGCTCGCTCGCCCCTGCGGGCGGGAGGGCCTCCACACGCGCGTCGCCGTTGGCGTAAAGAGCGACCACACCAGGCGGAGAGGTCAGGTCCCTACCCAACTGGGTGCGTTTACCAAACGGCTTCGCGTGTCGGGGTAATTCTTACGAGGGTGGATTTTCTGTTCTCTATATTGTCCGGTGTTGGGAACGTTTTGGAACCCTTTCGGGGCAGTCTCGGGATCGTCTTCGAGCTTTCCAGCCGTCCTGGGGTCTCTTGAGGCCACCCTGTGGAGCTGAACGTCCTGGGGCTCTCCAGGACCGCCTGGCGGCGTTTGGGCGATTTCATGGATCGTTTTCGCTTGGACCTCGTTCTGCACCACAGGCGGAGTGACTACAAAACAAGGGGACGCGAAAGTAATGCGAGCACGAAGAGCATTGTTCAGGGCGATCCCTGCCCCCCCCCCCTCCCGCGTCCGCAAATTTCGATGTTGAAAACGGGTGTGTCTGTGGAGTTGGGTCATGAAGTTGTGTCATGCCGAGGCCTTGCGCTCCTGCATTCAAAAGGCTGAAGTGG